TCTAACACTATATAAGGGCACAAATATGCAAATTACAACCACCAGCTTACAACACACAACCACTAGCTGAATAAAATGAGAGGAAGGGACGAAGCCAGCCTAGAAACGACCCTAACAGGGTAATAACTACGCAACACCAAGACACAACACTAAAACAGCCCCAACAAGGTAATGCTCGAGTGTATAGTCCCAAAAGGATAATAAGTTCACACTCAGGCTGACTGAGACCAACGACCCAAACTTAAAACACAGCAACTAACACAAACACCAACACAAACGACAAAACAAGAATAAATCAATGAAGAACACGAGAAAAAAAGAAAAAACTACACACTAACAAAACACCTCCCTCAGCAGATACATCCGAAAAGGACAGCAGACAAAGCCGATTCCGAGGAGAGCTCCAAAGCTCAGATACCACTCCCACCACTACATAAGGCCTACCAAGACGATGATCCAAGCCTAAAAAACAATCTGAGAACATGGCCCGCACTCCAGCCGCTAAAAACCACGAACACCCCCCAACCGGCTAACACCACTAGCCTACTCCAGAGACCGTCGTCCTCCCCCGAACTCAGAAACCAATAAAGGGCAGAAAGTGGACGAGTGGTATCCATGCTCGACTGCTCTGACCCTGCCCGAACGAAGCACATCCTAACAACCCTGCCCACAAGGAGAAGCCCCAACCAGCCACCCACGTACGATCGAGGCGCCGGCGACCAGACCCCTGCTAAAGCCGAAAATCCACCATCGACAAGCCTCCAAATTGGCCGAGAAGAGGTATCCCGACCAAAGCAGACTCAAGCGACACAAGCATCATCCACGCACGACCACACCCTGCTATGCCCCAAAACCACTGAATTCCGGCAGCCTTCGAGCAGAAAAAGAATCTGCTGGAGCCCTAGCCCTAACCTAGTGGAGACAGGACAGAGGACGGGAGTGCCGCTGCCATGGATGAGCGGAAGAGACCATCCACCGACACTCACAGACGGCGGCTGAGGGAGCTTATCTTGCTAGTAGAGATGGAGGCCGAGATTTAGGGGAGACGAATTTTTTAGGGAGACGATTTGGGGAGAGCTTTATACAGAAATCATTTGCAAAATGGCTACTTCTTCCACTTGCAAATAAATTCACTTTGAAAGTCGTTAAGACTAACATTAAAGCTTTTCTTAATAATAAATTGAATAAAAAATTGAGAAAGATAGACTTGTAATATAGCAGGCGGGATGTTATAAATATTAGTGGTAAAAATAATAAAATCTCATAAAAATGTTCTTGTCGATTACCTAACACGAGATAGAGGAAATCAAAGTTCATTCCGTCCTTACGACATTGAGATATCTTGGCGAGCATATGAAATTTCTCATGAGAGAATTTGATGCGCTCATGATCAATGTCAACCTTTCTAGGAGATTACAAAAGGTTAATCGTGTGAAAGTAAATGACTGTATTCTAGAATATTTACGTGCTCATTTTCAAATGAGATTGGCACGACAGAGGCCACTCCTTCGAGCCATTGATAAACCAAATGAGAGCTTAAATCACTAGGTTCCAACCTGGAACAGGGGATTTAAGTACCCTTAGCCAGGATCCAGAACCAGTCATTTCTACGAAAAAACTAGTTCATGATAAAACCGATTTTTCAGAGTTAAATTCGATAAGTCGAGTCAACTCAACACATATGGGGAATAAGAGAGAGAGAGAGAGAGAGAGAGAGAGAGAGAGAGAGAGAGAGAGAGAGAGAGAGAGAGATTAACCTTAGGCCAATGACAGGCACCTCTAAAGGTATTAACTTCGTGGAAACTTATAATGAGAAATGTTATAATGAGAGAATCAACCTTGGGAAAATACAAGTTGATATTTCTGGAAAATACCCAAGGGCCAAGGGTGTGGGCGACACCAAATTCCAGTCAACAAGACGTCAAAGAATAGTATGACTTTGGAGGACACACTTCAGTTTATACTACGAAACCAACCTTCTTGGAAATAATGGCTTTACCAAAATGGATTCAAGAGGCCGTTCGCTAATGTTGGACCAATAACGGAAGCCATAAAATATGAGCTTTTTAGAATTATACTTTACCAGTGCAGCTACATAACCAATTGGAAAAAGAATATGTGAAGTTTTTCATTATTTTGGGATTGTAGACCACAAGAAAGTGCCACCGAAGGAACGAAGGCGCCATTAATTGAAGAATCTCGTTGGTCTCTACCTTCAAAGAGGACCAAATATCAACCAAATAAAAAATGAAGCCTTTGTCTTACAAAGATGGACAAAGTCATGTTCATGTTCAAATTATGCCAGAATTAAGTAACTTAGCCATTCATGTTAAATACCATAACAGGAAGAACCACTAGGTTTACGGAAGATGCATTTGACAAAGAAAGGAATTGAGTAGCTATTGGTAGCCTCCTCCCAAAAGGAGATTATCTTTATATAATAATTATTATATGTGTGTTGAATAAAAATGCCCTACAAATCTTCCATATTCTGTATTTTACTCCCCAAAAAATAAGTTTTGTACACTTTGAGATAGGACACACAAAGTTGTGTTGACTGTATTTAAGGGAGCCGTGTCAGGAAACTATCGATTGCGATTGTGTGTTACACGACAATGAGTCGTTCATAAAAATCTAACTGATACGACTCGACAAAACCACGATAAAAAAAGGTATGAAATTATGGAGTTAGTATTATTCTATGGAAGCATGTTTCTATTATTGGCTAAATTGTAAAATATAGCCAGTACCTTGTCCGCGGTGACAATAATACCCACAATCTTTACGAATTAGCAATATTAGCCAACAACTTTCAAAATTTCAAAATTATTACCCAAATTTAACCAAATTCGATAGATAAATTACAAAATATAGTCAGTATCTTTTTACGCAGTGGCAACAATAGCCATTGAATTTGGTCGTACATGGGTAATAACCCCAAAATTTTAAAAGTTGTTGGCTAATACTGCCAATTCGTAAAAATGTTGGCTAATTTTATCACCGCGTACAAAATACTGGCTATATTTTGCAATAAAACCTTCTATTATTTATTGTAATTATCAATTGAGAAATTTCAACCTTATTAAAAAAAATGGCAAAAATGATAATTACTACGAACACTCATGTGAGGGCAATGCCCATAGAGGTAGGATCGAATTCACCTCCTTTCAGATGAAATGCTCTATATCACAAAACAGTTGAAAACCAGATATTGATAATTCCACCCAGTAAAATCTAACAAATGGTCATATAAAGTACTGTTTCTTCTATATATTAAAGTTGCTCAACTTCATTTTTACGTCTAAAGAATCAAAACTAACGAATATAAAGCATACTATCTTACACAAAATACATATACTATAAAATGTTATATCTTGTTTATATTATATTTTAAAGTGCGACTTTAAGTATGAAAATATGAATATCTGTAGAGTGCGGTTGTCAAACTATTAAAGCAACCTAACAAGCTAACATATAACCTATGGTCTAACTCGCAAATACTGCTCGGCTGACTAACTGTTAGACAACCATACCTTATAATGAAGAATACATATAATACAAAATGTCGTATTTTTAAAATTATGACATTTGAATATGAAAGTATGTTCATCTGTTTATAGAGTATCATTCTCTAACCATTAGTCAAGATAAGAGAAGACTCATCGATCTAACGCACAAATATTGTCGTTACGTTGCCTCACTTAACTAGTCGTACTTTTTTTTACGAAAAATACATTCTCTTACTACAAAATACCAATTTTTTTAATTATACTGAGTTTTAAAGTATAACATTTTAAGTGTAAAAATCTCTTAAAATAGTATCATTGTCTAATCAATCATTAGGCAACCAAACAGAAAACCTACTGCTCTAACACACAAATATTGTTGTTAGAAGCCTAGGTGTTGGTCATACTTTCTTCTAAAAAAATACATACTTATAGTCTTATACTATAAAATAATATACTTTTGTTTATGTTATATTTCGAAATATAACTTTTGAATATAAAAGTTTGCACCTATGTTAAATAGTACGATTCTCTAACTATTAGGCAGTCTAACAAAAGACCTTACTCCTCTAAAGTCTAGGCGTTAGACAGTCTAACAAAAGACCTTACTCCTCTAAAGTCTAGGCAAACACTTACCATACCGTATAATTAACTCATCAGTCATCTCAACACCTATGTTAAATAGTACGATTCTCTAACTATTAGACAGTCTAACAAAAGACCTTACTCCTCTAAAGTCTAGGCGTTAGACAGTCTAACAAAAGACCTTACTCCTCTAAAGTCTAGGCAAACACTTACCATACTGTATAATTAACTCATCTCAATCACCACCACTACTACATCATTCATGAAAAACAAAGGAAAGTGAAAATGGAAAAGGAAATTGTTTCTCACACTAACTCCATATCATGCACAAGAAATTGTATATACCTTGTCCGATACAAAAGCTCCAAAAGAATGAATCATCGTACTGGAATTTTTTTTTATTGAAGGGAAACCTAGGAGGGCACCCCTCTTATAACAATTCACACTAGAAAAGCAAACAGAAACCTCACATACAGTCTGGGAGATACGAATCCCGGACCCAAAAGAAATGAAAAGGGAAAATGTCTTTAGAGCCGACCAATAGGGATGGAAAGAAAAAATGAATACAAAAAAAAAATAACCTCTATCTTCCAAATCAACCAGTAGTACCCGTCTTGGGTTTAAAGTCGCACAACAAATATCGTGAAGTCTGATTTACATCTCAATAAAAATGCTGAAAAAACGAACCTTAAGTTACACGATGAAACCTTGAAATCTTCGGCAAAATCCCTGGAAACTGCTCTCACTGAGCATGTACACTTTGCACCAAAAAAAACCGCTATTAGCTCTGTGACGACACCAATTTATGATAAGCTGAGATATAATAAATCTAGGGACATGAACGAAATTCACAAACCACGTGCTCTTTTTTAACTTTCATCTCCTACATCCTCAGAATTCTGCAAGTACCTATGTTGCAATTCCTGAAAGAAAATCATGGTAATAAGTTAAGATGGCAATTCAGTTGACTCTATGGACACTAAATATGTAAATGATTACATCCACAAAGATCAAAGATGAATCAATTTTTTTTCACCCTAGTCTCTTTCATGTTTTTCCATTAAAAGTAAATAAATAAATAAATAGTTCAAAGAATCCATATTTTCTATTTTGCAGATAATGAAACTATAATATGTAATATGCATGGTTTTCTTCAAGACGTGGTATAGTAAATACTAATCATTTTCAGTTGTTTTTTGAAACTTATTAAACAGACTTCAATTCATAATATCAGAAAACATTGATGTGGAGTCATGGGAAGGGAGAGCACAAAAGAACTTAGACCGATCTAAAAAAACCACTTTTATCTCAAACAACTGTAGCTATAGTGCAGTACAAGAAGTTTTTTACTTCATGAATCTACAGTATAATGAGTCTTGTACTTCATGGATCTACAAGAATAACAAGGAAACACAAGTTTTATGGCAAACAAAGATAATTGCAACCAATCGATCAACTACCTTAAAAGTGAAGAATGTAAGCAGTTTGCACGATAAAATTGTCATTACGATGGATTAAAAAAAAATGTAAATGAAACAATGAACAACTACTGATAACAAACACTCCCGAAGGAGATCATACGAGATTATGTTACACCATCTGTATCAACTTTATCTGTTAGCAATCTTAGATCACACGAGTTCAGCTCAAAGAAACATAGATCAATCCAGGTCTAGCAAAACTAAGGGAATAACAATCTTAAAGTGAACCAGTGTCTTAAATAGAAACTGCATTTTCACACATTCTAAGAAAGCGGTAGAAAGAAACCAAGAGACTGTAAGAACATGACTAAAATTTCAGCATAAACATTTTTTGTAGGCCAGTCAGAGATCAAGTATCTTGTGTGACCTCAAGTAGAAAACATAGGAAGATAAAAAAGTATAATTGTTTCATGTTTTAGCTCAGTATAAATCTCCAGTTTAACTTCTTAAAAAATGGAAGTCAATTGCAACAGGTTACTGCAGCCAGTTATCTTTTGCATCAAGAATACAACAACAACAACAACAACAACATATCCAGTATATTCCCAACAGGTTGGGGTCCGGGGGGTCAGTTATACGCAGACCTTACCCTTGTATTTATACAAGGAGACTGTTTCCGTAACGACCCAAGGTGCATTGCGTCGTTTGATATATTTTTTTTCTAGAAACTTCACTAATAGAAGAAGCACTAGAATTTAATTGAGCCATTTTGATCTAGTCCATTATTAGCACTATGCCAACAGAATTGTAACAATGACTCTTCCAGCTCCATTTGCAATGGACTTCTTTTGCATCAAGAATGTTTATGAAAATTGCCAATAAGATCTATACAATATATCTTCACAGATACTAGAATGAGGAGTTCACACAACTTCAAGTTATAAACTTTTGATGCACCCATGAGAGACAATAAATAAAGCACTTTGGTATTATTATGCTTCTTCTATGATATCCAATGTGATTATGTACACACATTAGAAAAAAAAAAAAAACAATTGCATCAACGGGCACTCGTCTCAACTCATCTGCATCCAGCTTTTCAAGAAAAAATCCACACCATATTTAGCATGTATGCACCCTAAATATACAGAACTATCAATGCAATGGCAAAACAAAAAAGCAATCAATACCTCTATTGGATTGTCTATTCGAAATGCCATACCCCACTCCAAAATCCTCGGACTCTTTAACGGCTACATCCTCCGAATTCCCAAGAGCATAACCGAACGAACCCGAATTGTCCATCTCAGAAGATGGTGTTTGCCAGGTTGGATCGCCATAAACAGAACCCCCACAGTAAAAATCCCCATAAGACCCCTCATATCCACCGCTGGATGCAGAAAAAGCAGAGCCCACACCCATCCCACTGTTTCTCCCAGACCCACCTGAACCGAAAGCGTAGTTATTCTCCCCACCACCTCTATAACCCACGGTGCCTCCACTGAACCCGGACGAAACTCCCCCAACAGTACCACCATTGTTATTAGAAGTTCCCCAATTGGCATTCCTAAAGACCCCTAAACCACCACTCCTTGAACCAAAGTACGAGCCCGAGCCAGCATTACTCACAGCATTATTACCAAGCCCGCCATTTCCCCACATATTCCTCGACTCAGAGTTGAGAAAGGACTCACCCCGGCTGCTATTGTTTGTACTGTTATAGCCAATAGGAGTGTTATACCTGCTCTGGGTGCTGCTGAAATATGGGCTCATCACACGCCCGTAGCCTACACTGGATCCCCCTCCAAAACCGGGACTCAGACCCTGATCCATGTTCACGCCTACCCCATATGCAGGCGACCCGAAGTGGGAGAACCCGGCCCGTGCACCGGCTAGCGGGCTGTACCTGCCGTCAATCCTGACACCGTAGCTCCCAAGCGAGCTTAGGTTGTACCCCTGCGGATAGCCGCCGAGGAAGCCACTCCCCCTGCTGAAACCATAGTTGTAACCAAGGAGCGGGCCCCGGGTGGGCCCGGGGGACAGCTCCTTGGGGACAGCTCGCTTCACCTCAACCATTTTCCCGTTGAGCTCATGGAAGGTCTTATGGAGCACCCTGTCCACGGCATCCTCTGAGTCGTAGGTTATGAATCCAAAGCCCCTCGGCCTCTGGGTGTTATGGTCGTACATGACCACGACGTCTGTTATGGTGCCAAACTGGCTGAAATAGTTCTTGAAGTCGCTCTCAGTGACAGTGGATGCTAATCCTCCCACGAAGATCTTTTTTGTCCGCCCAGGCACGGGCGATCCCTGGATGCTGCTGCTATTTCTATTGGTCAAGTTCTGGTCGTCTCTTGGGACAGCCTTTTTGGCTTCCACCTGAAAAAGTGGATGATAATCAGGAACTCCACACAAATGAGATGATGTAGACCAAGAAAAGAAGTTCCTATTGAATGTACAAGATTTGCAAGTATAATTTGTGCTCAACTTATCCAAATTATAATCAGCCAGCATCTGGCAGACATTCCTTATCAACTTCGAGTAGATATATAGTCAGTGATCTATGAATATGCAGCATCTTTTAAGTGCAGACCAAAAAAGGCAGTCAAGTTATTGTTCTCAGCAACCATTTCAAGCAAATATTTAAGCAATCGATCATCTAGAAATTTATCAAGCGGTTATTTTAACTTGGATTAGAAATAGAGGGAGAAATTGAAAATTGCAGCCATTTGCAAAAATGTGCGCTTATCTTCAAAAGATTTGGTTCTTTTAACTTGGAGCAGATATATAAGTTCACGAATAAGAAAAATGCTGCCTTTTGCAAAAATTCACTATCCTCAAAGAGTTCGACCAGAATCAACTTAAATATTAATCATTTTCAGTTGTTTTTTGAAAGGCAGTCAACTTAAAGAGTTCGACCAGCATATTTTAAGTGCAGATCAAAAACAGGCAGTCAAGTTATTGTTTGCAGCAACCATTTCAAGCAAATGGTCATCTAGAATTTTATCAAGCGGTTATTTTAACTTGGAATAGAAATAGAGGGAGAAATTGAAAATGCAGCCATTCGCAAAAATGCGCGCTGATCTTCAAAAGATTTGGTTCTTTTAACTTGGAGCAGATATACAAGTTCACGAATACGAAAAATGCGGCCTTTTGCAAAAAAATGCACTATGATCCTCAAAGAGAGAGTTAAACCAGAATCAACTTACAGTGCGTCCATCGATCATGTGCTTCTCCTTGACCACTTTTTCTGCAACCACAGGGTCGGCAAAAACTATGAAACCGAACCCGCGGGCTCGTCCCGTGGTTCGGTCCCTCATGATCACTGCCTCCACCACCTCTCCGTACGTCCCGAAATATTCTTTTAGGCGTTCCTCATTTGTGTCCCAGGAAATCCCACCAACAAAAAGTTTACCGTGATCCGTCTCCATATTCCTGCCATTTTGGAACACGCAGTCCTTTAACCAAGCACGGAAGCTTCTTAAATGAAGTAAAACAAAAGGGAACAAAATCAAAGCAGTCTTGCACAACAAGCAAACACGTTATTAAATTACAAAAGAAAAAAAGTGAAATTTGCTGGCAGAATCTCGAAAAAACTCTCTGATCAACTCAGAAGATTAGATGAATCCCACAGATTGCAGATAAATCCAAGCTGAATCGCGCAATTAAAAAATGGCGTCCCCACGATCGATCAATGAATAAATCGAATCTGATTCATGTGCAGACAAAACCAAAAAAAAAAAAAAAAAAAAAAAAAAAATCATAAGCAATAACAAACCAAAATAGTATCATCAATCACACCTTTATCCTGTAAATCGGATAGAACCCAGAGAGCCGATCAAAAAACACAAAGCCGAAAATGCTGGATTTATTACGCAACCATTGGATCCTTGATTCATCAAATCGGGATTCAGCACACGGATCACTGGAAAAAAAAAAAATCACGATTCGCACAGATCAGACAGGCGCCCAAATCAATCAGAAAAATCACAACGAAATGGGGAAAATGTTCGAAATTTTTTACATCCTTTCGATTCAAATAAACGGCTCACCTGTGGAAGGAGCAGATTGCAGATGAAACAAATTGATGAAAACAGAGGGTATGCTCTCAGGCGCATCCTCTGTCTCCCTAATTAACCTCTCTCTCTCTCCTCTTGCTTTCTCTTTCTTGATTATTATTATTCCACTCCTTTTTAAACCGAAAAAATTATGAAAAAAAAAAAGAAAAATGGAAGTCCCTTTTAAATTATTAAATTTTGAAAAATTGCAGAGAGAGAGAGAGAGAGAGAGAAGGAGAGGTGTTGTGTGTATGTAAAAGTTGTATGTATAATACGTGGGATTGTTGGGCAAAAATCTCTCTGGTTGAAGATATATTTGGAGGTAGATGACAGGTTGGGGTGAGCTTTACAGAACCATACTAAGGTAAGGTAATTTGCCTTTATTTATTGCATACAAATTGACTATTGTAGGGAGCTATTTCAATATTTTTACCTTTTATTTTTAAGCTTTTGGATTTTACTATGGTTTTGCAAAATCTATTATATTTACTAATATAAAAGATTGCAATTTTTTAAATGAAAAGTACAAAAAAAAAAGAAGGAAAATTAGAAAGTTTTCAATTACATTAATTTATGGCATTTTTATTTTATCTTTTTTTTTTAAAAAAAAATAACCATCATCTTTCAATTTTTGGAATTTATTCACGATGCAAACTCGATGTAGAATCTAGAGAAGTCTCTCCTCTCTTGAGGGTGCGATTTTCTCTTCTTGAGAGCTCGATTTCCTGTTTTGTAGACGACGATTCATCTTCATAATCGATAACAAATTCTCAGTATTCCCGAATTTGTATTTGTCTCCTCTCTCTGTGAGCTAGCAGGCTTAGGCGTTTTCAGTTTCTTTCCTTTTGCATTTTGTCTTTTGCTGTTTTGGGTTCGTGTTTGTGTAGGTGCTTCCGTTAAATATTCTACCTCTACTAAGTCTCTCTCACACACCATGGAGGAGCAACTATCAATTAAACTTGGTTCCTTCAAGCTTTCGAAAATAGGAGACAGAAGTTGTCCCAATTGAACAATGTCGTCCGATTTTGGTTGACGTAATCTAAGTCGTCGGATTATATTGTAGGTTATTTGTGGCCCGTTTGCCAAACAAGCCCGCTAAATTAACATTACCCATTTTGGCCCAATTTCATTCTAAATAATGTGTTTTATAGTATATAGCAATCCAATATTAGCGTCAGTACTTACATTAAAAAATTTTGTCCATTAAATATGATTAATAAAAATAAGAAATGAAACTTATTTTTTTCTAAAAAAAATATTATTTAAATTGAAAATAATAATAACAATAATAATAATACATATAATTTTATAACAATTTTATTACACTATTTTACACATATTTCTTTCTATTGTATAAAAAATGTAATTGCTTTATAAATAATATGTAGACCAACATTTAACATATAAGCAACAAAAAAAATTGATTTTTATTAACTAATTTGTGTGTGAATAATTATTTATTATCCATCAACAAATATAACTTAATTTAATAAAAAATATTACTTAATTCATATCAAGAAACGTTAAAATTTCACCATAATTGTATTATTTATGTTTTAATATCCTATTAATAAAATAATGTAATTATTGCATATTTAGTTCACTGTTCGAAAAGCGCTAGGCGCCGGTACAACGCCTACGATTTGGCCAAATCGGCCATAAAAAAAAGCCGGGCGGGCTCGGCGGCGCCTAGTCGGGCCTAGGCGGGCCTAGGCGGAGCTAGGCGGCCTCGGCGGCTACGCGGTTTCGGCGGGACTAGGCGGCTGAGGCGGGTTCTAGGCGGCCGAGGCGGGTTCTAGGCGATTTTTACAATTTTTTTTTTTTTTTTTTTTACTAAATGCATTTAGTTTAAAAATCTCATAATTTATTATTTTATAATTTTTTATATTTATCTTATGTTGTGTAATATTTAAAACATAACATGTAGATAATATGTTTGATAAAATTACAATGAGAAGAAGTTATATTGTGGTTATGTACTTATTTTAACTTGGAGTTTTTTTTTATAATATAATATTAATAATATTATTGGGACTTAGGTGTATGGAATTATTAATTATAAATTATAATTTCATTAGTGAAATTGTAAAAATAAATAAAAAATAATATATTTATTATAATTTCTAGGCCCCGCCTAGGCGGCGCCTAGGCCCCGACTAGGCGCTCTAGGCGCTAGGCGCTGGTCGGGCGCCTAGCGGGCGCCTAGCGACTTCTAGAACACTGATTTAGTTACATAAAATTATTTTTATTTTTTGCGAGTTTTTTAGTAGATGCAAATATAATTGAAAAATCAATATTTTATATGTACTCTGGAATCATCTTCTACAATGATCCATACTTTTTATTCACGACAACCAACAAATTAATGCAGCATCAAATGGCTCACATAAATTTCCATTTTGCTATATTACAAATAGTAATTCATGCACATAAATTTCTTTGATTATTTGTTATGTTTGTTAATAATATATGTAATTACATATGCATCACTTGGATCGACAAGTACGTCTAAGGAGGTATATAATAGCACCAATAGAGATGTCAATTTTCGCAATGAGAGCATTATTAAAGACCTCACAAGCGATGATGACGAACTAACTTTGCTACTAATGAACCTACTCGAAAGGAGAAGATGTTAACTACGCCTGCAGTGGATTTAACCAAAGCTGAGTTGAATCAAACTATGAATAATATCTTGTATTCATTTAATTTGATATAACCAACTTTGTATGCATTGTTTTTTTCTTTTTCTTTTTTAGGCGTGCACGTGCAGAAAAGAAGATATAACAACAAGAATAATATATCTATTTGTAATAGTAAGATTTCATATGTTGTGGTTGATGTGCCTGAAGATTGTGTTGTCCCAACTTTCGCCAGGGTTTGAAAATATTAGTACGTGGTGGTGATGATTTGCTAAAAAAATCAAACAAAAAATATTGTGTACAATAAGGTGTTTAATAATATATAAATTATTTTGCTTTAAATTTAATTTCAAAACATGCATACAACCAAACGGTTGCTCATTATTATAATTGCATTTGTGTTATGTTGTTAACTTATATCTGAACACATTATCCAACATAAGAATAACCACTAAATATTGCTTCCTGAATATTGCTTCATGTGAGTAGCATGAGTTATGCGCTAGTAAGGATGAAATAAAATTTAATATAATAGCACGTATTATGAACCCGTTATCTTTAAATATCATATTACTTATGAAGTAACAACAATTAAATTTACATATTATTTTGGTCATCCTCTATATCGCAAATTTGTGTTCAATTAGTTTAGTCCTAAGATTTGATACAAATTTTTTTTGATTTATTATATATTTTTTGATTGGTGCTTAAATAATTATGTGTTTAATGTAATCTTTCCCCAAGCACTTAGTGGTGTTGGGTTTTTGCTCTTTTGTCCCACATCGATGATGAAATGAGAGGGG